GTAATTTCGCCATTTAGTGATCCGTGAGCACGGGTGCCTAAACAAGGTTTTATTGCAACCAACAACCATTACGAGAAAATAGATAAATAATTAAATAAATAAATAAATCTTTTATTCTCAACAAGGTGAGGCACGCCTTTACAGGCATGATCATTTTGACATAACGATGCATGATCAAGAATGTGCAAAACTCCGATATGTTTGCCATAGCAGTTTGTGTTTGTGTAAGGGGTATGTATGTATGTCATTGTGTGTGTATGTGTATGTAGCTGTGTATTTTGTGCTTGTAGTTGTGCTGCTCCAATCTTCAATGTTTGATATTGTCATCAATATGCGAGTAGGAGATTGGTGTCCGTGGGTTGGAGAGAATTATCCAGATATCCACGGGGCAGTGACTTTATTTTGTGGCGAGTCACGACCGCCACGTCACAGTGTTGTTAAGCAGACATTTGTGGCTTTTTATAGGGAGAACGCTTGCCAGGCGATACCCACCACGTCCTGGAACACTGCCGCCGAACTATTTGCTGGAACGGGTTAAACCCGAACAACCCAGCTGTCACCACGAGGAGGTTGTTCGGCTATCCAGCCGAACAAAGCATTCTTCTTAGTAGAATTAGTTGCACAGGTTAGATGTAGAAGGCTGAGGACTGCGTCAGTGTGAAATGTTTAGCTATGACTTTATTTTGTGGCGAGTCACATCCGCCACGTTGCAGTGTTATTAAGCGGACATTTATGGCTTTTTATAGGGAGAACGCTTGCCAGGCGATAACCCACCACGTCCTGGAACACTGCCGTAGCTTTCGTTGAACAGTAGTGCATGTCGGCTATGCAACGTATAGACCGATTTTGCACTCTATTATTCGCAGTCGGTTGACAGCCAAAATTCTTCGTTGGTTGGCCGAATGGCTTAGTACTGATACGGCAGCAGTCGTTGAAGCCGCTCAATGATGCAGGATTGGAAGAGTCGAATGATAATGTTGCAGGTGAGTAAACACATTGGTAATAGAGGCCGGCTTTTCTATTATATTCTTGTTGGACTCGCAAACCGTGTCCAGCTATCCACGCTGGACTTGTCATGGGGTCGGTGAATGAAGTTGTTCCTTGTGGCTAAACATGTCTTTAATATGTAAAAACGCTATTCTCCGCAAAGTGGATTCGGGATTCCTTCAAATGTAAGTAAGTGTAACTGGTTCCATAGCCAAGTAAAAAATTGTACAAGAGCCGAATACTTCACTTCCTTCCAGAGTCTGTCCTATCAATTCGTGTAGTGAATGATTGGGACAGCCTATCGGAGAGCATTTTTGATGCACCGACAAAGGAATGTTTCAAACAGCTGCTTGATTGCCATCTGATGAGTACGGCAGGGCTCTGCTGCTCCTGCTGCAACGGGGACGATCCCCAGAGCCTTACCTAGTCACAGCAAGTTGCGTCAAACCTGCAATGAATGGGAATCTCCGGAGCTGACAAGGGTCTCCCCTAATGCTCTCTACACGCAAATGAAGCAATGAACATTTGTGTAGGGTCCGTTGATTGCTGCTACAAATGTTGGCTTTCAAAGACGCGCCACGTCTGATAACTGCACTTGGTTATCCACCTAAATAAAAAACAGCAGCATTAAATTTCACAAACATTTGTATTCCCACGTATGCTAAATTCTCGTGTGTATCTTCAATGTACACATTGTGATGCGGATAGCCTACTCCGTTGCTATCGTTCCTACTTTGAGGCTTCATTCTGAAGTTACTGCATAAGGGATACAATGAATTCAAACTGCTTGGACTGTTGTACGGCTGTTACTTCTCGCTCGAAAGCTGTACAGTGTTCCTTCTGAGAAGCATGGCTTCACATTGCATGTTGTAACGTCGGTCCAAATCCGTACGATCCACTGAGAAGGTTTGCTTCCTCCGTTGTCGGCTTTATTTGTGGCCCTTGTCGGAGTGGACGGAGTGTCACGCTGCTTTGAATGGCCTACCTTCAATCAGTCCCACTTTTTTCCTACCTGCATTTTTTGCAAAATAAAAAGGATGGTCCGTTTCTCCCTATGTTGCCTTCATCTGCATCTGGTCCGGATACTTCCCCTGGATTTCCAAATTTTGTTCCTTCTGTTTCATCCCCAGCATCATCGTCCATTGTCCTGCATTTCAATGAACGCAAGGAAAGGAGTTATGCAGTGGTAGCGTGCAGCAACATAACTCCGGTCCATGGTTCCAGTGTCCGCTAAATATTGTGTAGACGAAGGAGGTTACAAAACGTAGGTCTAATCCGAAGTCTTCGCAGTCCCAGTTAAAACATGTTAGCGATAAGGCAAAGCAGTTGGAGAACATGTGTAAGGTAACTCCTTGCCCAAAAGCCGCAGCAAGTTGAAGGAAGCAAAAATCCCGAGGGGAACTTTGTCTGATCATCGTAAACGCCCCTGAGTCTAAAAAGGAATCCTCGGCTAAAAGGATATTAGAGGACCAAGCGTTTCTGAGGCGGATGGTTTCTTAAATGTTCGATGCTAAAGAAAGGGGTATAAAATTTGTTTACGCGCTTCCTTCGGCTGGCAGCAGGAGGACCTCGAAAGTTCGCCCGCTAAAGGTGGTCAGCCAAGATGAATAGTTGTGCCGCCGTATCCTCCCGTGAACCTCCCGTTTGAAGGGAGAAACATTCTATGTTTCGATAGTACTCTCCCCAAATTCGAGTTAAAATGATGAAGGCCGTTGGGGAAATACGAATCCGACGGGCAGCTGTTGAAAGCAATTATCACGCTGTAGATTATGGAGTAGTAAAAAGAATAACGAGAACTCTGGGGAGACCAATCTTCGTTCTTCCGGTGCACTGAGAATCACGAGTGGAATGCGTGTGTGCGAACTTGCGTAGTTTGATAAGCAACTTGGATGAGATTCTACGGATGATCTCAAAGAAAGAATCCGATGTGTTGGCTTTTAAGGAGACTTGGCTCTCCTTGGATATTTCAGGCGCGAAGGTATTTATTCCAGGCTCGACTATCCCGGGCAGACCGTCCAGGAGGGAGATCCGGGGTGTGGTTGTTCTTTACTGGAAGTCAGACCTTAAAGTTCACACCGTGGAAGCCATGTGTGATCTCGATGGGATCAAATTTCTTTGGTTTATGGTCCACGATGGGTTCAGATCGCTCATAATCGTCGTTATCTACCGATCTCATGTGGGGTCAGGATTCCATCTGCTACACTGTATGGGGCTACATGGGAGGCATGATTGCTTGATTGTAGGTGAATCCAATGCCCCGGCATTACACTGGGATGCGCTTCGTTCTACTTCCTCTTCAGATTCTTGGATGCGTTTTGGTTTGAGACAGTCCTCGAATGTAATGTAACCCGCAACCCGTTTTATCATTTACTCGACTTTTGCAGGCCATGTGCCACACATCCTTGACTTTGTGCTCAGATAGCTCGATGATCGTGTACTATATATCCGGTAGGAGACTAGACGTCCAAACAAAAGCAATGGGTGGAACCAACAATAGTAAGCAAGGGAAAAATTTTATTAAACGGGTGGAGAGTAGCTAATGCTAAAAATAGAGCACAAGAAGAGAGCTAGCTAGAGATAATGTAGTTTGGCGTTAAGCAACTTGACGGAGGTTCGTTCGCAGTCGAGTCGCGCGCGCCAAAGGCGGATGTCTTGTTCGTGTTTCAAACAAACGGGAACAACATTCCAACATGCAAACCACCCTAATACATAAGAAAGTTATAGTGTTAAGTTATTTTAGAATAGGTTACACCGTCATACGGGCGAGTCACCAGGCCACAACACAGCCCCTACTAGAAGGGAAACGCTGTGTGACCACGAAATCTACCTGAGGGCTATCCGCCGCGGGTCTGCCATCGGTGAGACTAGGTAGTGAAACCTGATGCAGCTGCTGGGGAAGAACCAGGCGAACAGACCCTAGTAAGCTCCCACTCGTGTCCAACCTAACGATGCAAAAACAAAAATTGGGGGAAGTTGGTAGGCGTGAAATGTTTGCAAGTGCATAAAGTTCAAAGTTCACTTCAGGCTCGTCATCTTCTCGGGTTTGCACATGAAAGATAAACGAAAAAGAGCAGTGACGGTGGAGGTGGGGGCAAAAGTAAGGGGGACGCTTACGGGATCAGGTAGTAGTCAAGCAAAACGCAAATCTCTTTCGTGGTTTCGAAACATATTGCATTCCTTTGGGGTTTTCAAAAAGCTTTGTTGGGCTTATGGCGTTTTCAAAAGCTTTTGACGACGTTATAGCGTTTTTGCACGTTGTTGGCCCAAAGGGAAAAGGAAAGCATGAAAAAAATGTAAAGTGATATCTAATCCCTCCATCGCACTGGCCACTGAGCGCGCCTACCCGACCTAGTCTATTTGTGTGGAGTAGACGAGGGCATCACCTTAAACGTCCTACCGGATCGCAATTTGGTGGAACTGCTAAAGACGTGGGGTTGGGTTATTTGGGAAGTGGCACAGCTAAAATGGAAAGCTTGGATCGATGGTGAGGCTTACAACAGAGATGTTGGAAGAAGGCCCTTCCATCATAGTCTGGTTTGATTCGTCAGAAGACGAGCAAGTGTCTGCATCTAGCTCAGGTTCCTCGCGAGCAACCTTGAGACGGTCACTCGTAACGGCTTCTTGTTTACCGTGATGGTCGATGATAAATCCACGGTCCTTATGTTGCAAAACTTTAAAGGACATACTTAAGTTTGCTCCAATGGTCTGCGGATACCATCAAGGCGGAGAAACACGAGTGGACGACGCTGCAGGTTTTGTGGAAAAAAGCTTTACGTCGTTCTTCTCTAACGTCGTGAAGCTTGTAGTGACGCATGGTAGTGGCAAGCCGACCTGCGTACATCGCGTCGTAACAGGAAATTCTGGGATTATCGGAAAAGAACACGCCAGGTAAGCTCAGTGTTTGTCTATATATTCCCTCGGCGCTAGACGAAGGTAGATCCTCCTTTAGGACTTATAGGATCGCCGGAGCGGTCATACGCAACACCGCAGTCTAACGCACCGCATTGGCGGAGCTAGGGGTGGCTTCTATTTTTCTGTGGAAACGTACAACCATGTACTTCGCCTGCGGCTGAGAGGTGGTCATGCGAATGCGTCAACGTCCAATGACTTTAAGAAGATCGTTAAAGGCCGAAGTTTCGAATTGCCGAACGCAGTCTGTCGTCACCGTGGCTGGACAGCCTGTGAAGCGACCCAGCGCTCGACGAAAGCGTGTTACGGCTTCCGCAGCTACTTCAGGGATAGGAACGGTTTCGGGCCAACCGGTGCAAAAATCGATCATGGTCACAAGGTCGACCATTTCTCTGGATGGGGCCAGAGTTTTCACTATGTCAGGATGGACATGGGCAAGTCGCGCTGAAACCGACGGAAAGCAACTAAGCGGAGCGGAGACGTGCCGCTGAACCTTGGCTTGCCAACAGGTGAGACTGTTGCGTGCCTAGCGCTTAAGATAGTGTTGCATTCCCGGCCAAACTTATCCCTCTGAGGCAAGCTTAGCCGTAACTTTTATGTTTGGATGGGCGATATTGTGTAGGGTGCCGAAAACCTTACATCAAAATGTATCTGGAAAGGCGGGTCGAGGTCGTCACGTAGACACGTTGCATAAAATAGTACCCGCAGATAACAGCAAGGGGTGCGCGGACGTCTTTAAAGGGGAAGCACGTGGTTTCAAAAATCTTTGATTGTTTGGGTACGCGGCGGCCAAGTCGATTGCCTGCCCTGCAAGACCGATCGCAGACACTGTTGAAGGAGCATCAGCGACGACATTTTATTGACTAGAAATACGTCGGATATCAGTCGAGGATTAGGCAAAGTAATCTAGCTGACGAATCTCACGTGGTGAGTGTCGAGCTGCTTGATTTCGAATGCCTTTTTAATCGGCTTGTACTCGGTGTAGATAAGGTAGGTGTAACCTTGAAGGACATGTCGGAAATGTCGGGCGGTAGAGTAAACGGCCAGCAGCTCGCGACTGAGCGTGCTGTACTAGGCTTCAGCGAGTTGTTAAAGCCTAGAGTAGGAAATCAAACGGTTTCCATGATCCATTTGTATGTTGCTGTAAGACGGCGCCAATGGCGGTGTCCGATGTATCAACAGCAACACTGGGAGGAGCGTTCGGATCGAAAGGATGAAGCCTAACGGATTTGGATAAGGCTTCTTTGCTGGCGTTGAACGCTTCGGCAGCAGCAGCACTCATTTCCCCTTGACCGATTTACGTGCAAGCAATAGGCCTGTTACTGGACTTAGCTAATGGGCAAATTGTGGAAGAAAACGTTGATAACAGTTGAGCATGCCGTTCAAACAGCGAATAGGGGCTAACGTAGTCGGGTCGAGATAGGCTCTGATGGCGCGGACTCTACTGTCTAGAAGCCGTATGTCATAAGAATCAATGTAGTAGCCAAGCAACTCGAAGTCATGCTGCAGCGATAAGCATTTGTCAGGGTTAACAGTGATGCTATTAACAAAAATTATCTTGTGAACTTCTGCGTGTTGTTCTTTTGAAGCGCTGGCGACTAGGAAATGGTCGATGCATGGATAGACGAAATCTAGACCTCTGGTGACTGAATCGATGCATCCTACAAAAGTCTGGGCTGCTTTGCAAAGGCCGAAAGGCATACGTAAATATTCGAAGAGCCCAAACGGCACGATTACGGCAGCCTTCGGTATGTCTTCCTCAGAAAGTGGCACCCGGTGATACGCGCGAACCAGATCAATTTTCTAGGACACCCGGATGCCGCGTAGGCTTACCGTAATGTACTGAAGGTGAGCAACAGGATAGCGGTCCGGAACAGTAATGTTATTGAGCGCGCGGTAACCAGCACATTGAGGACAGTCTCCTGACCTTTTTGGCATTATGTGTAGCGGCGACGCCGGTAGGCCTTTAGACGGGCGAACGATGCCTAGTTCAAGCAAGTGCTCGAATTCTGCGCGAGCAATGTTTAGCTTATCCAAGGTCCTTCACCTGGCTTTGGCGGAAACAAGATGACCTTTGGTAACGGTTTGATGTTTTGCATCATCAGTGGCGGATAGAAAGGAAGCCATTGCATGAAAGACTTGCGGGAACTTAGTATGAAACATCTGACAGATGTGTGAGCTCGGTTGCTTGGCGTACGCAGGACTGGTGGACTAAATGCCGGTTAAATTACCTATAACTGCCAGAGTTGTTTGACAACCGATCGGACGGCGTTGCTGTGCGTCAACAAGTAAATCAAAGTGCTGCATAAAGTCAAGGCCAAGAATTGGCGTTTGGATATCTGCAACGAGAAAAATCCATTTAAAGGAATGTCGTGGGTTTAAATTAAGTGTGCGCAAGTGTTAACCATACACGCGAATGGTGGTGCCGTATGCCGCGCGCAATGAACTTGCCGCCTCTTCAATAACATCATTAGCATCACGTGGAATAACGGTGACCTCCGCGTCGGTGTCAACGAGATAGCGTGCTCCCGTACTGAGATAGGGGACAAAGAATAGGCGACTGGGGCATCCAGCAACGTCCGTTGCCCCTACGTGCTAGCCGGTACGTTTCCATGCGTGTTGCGCTTGCAGGAACAGTGCGGGCGACGCTACCTGGCTTGAACAACAAAGCACTTGTGGTATCAACAATATCTTGACCTAAGGGCGATTCCGAACGTGAACTAGGAAGAGTGCGATTACTGGAAGGTTTTCGGCCGTTGGATCTGGACTGCGTTAGGTTCTCTAGCCGGTTAATAAAGTGCCGCTACTTGCTGTCTTAGCTCTGCTACCGCCGTACTGGAAGTAGACTAAATCTGCCATCCTTTGGCGCTGTAATCCTAAATAGGGTCGGCAGTTTCGGCGAGCTGAGCAAGCGGCGCCTCATTTTCAGGCATGGATTACGCATGTTACGTAGCAGGCGACGAAGCCACATCTGTTTAAGGAAAGCGTCGCCAACAGAGAGAGGCTTAGCTAGAGCCCGCATCTTCTGCAGCAACTGAGAAGATTTTCGATCACCTAGATCGGTTTCGTTAAGAAGCCGCGTAACGCGTGCATGGCCTCATATGACGAACCGCTTTAAGACTATGAATTCAGGCTCACCTTACCTCTTCTGATACTCCGGAAGCTCCAAGTGTTGGTCTAGGTCATCAACAAACTGTGGAGGAAGCGTTGCGACAACGCTGTGAAATTTGGCAGTCAGACCTAAGGTCATGTGACGATAAACTGAATTCTAGTAGATTAAACCTGGCCTCAGGATGAGTCTCTCAGAAAGGCGGGATATGGACAGAGAACACACTACACTGATCGGCAGAATCCCAGTGAATGACCTTCATGGTGAAAAATTACGGAGCTTGCGAAGTGAACCCAATTAGTAAGAAGTAAAAGTAGATTGGTCGACAGAATACGTTACCGGATTTGAAAAGAAATATTATTATCAAACTCACCAAAAAGAGTTTCGGGTTCACCAATTATAGCGCGATGATCGTGCTCCATATATCTGGTACGAGACTAGACGGCCAAACAGAGGCAATAGATAGAGCACACAAAATTAAGCTAGGGAAAAATTTATTGGACGGGTGGAGAGTTAGCTAATGCTAAAACTAGGGCACATAAAGAGAGCTAGCCAGGAAGAATGTAGGTGGGCGTCGAGTGCGTTGACGGAGCGTCGTTCGCAGTGGGGTTTCGCGTGCCAACGGCAGATGTCGTGTTCTTGTTTCGCTCAACTTTCTATCAGACAAACCGCTTATTTCTCTAATAAATAACAAAGCCATAATGTAATATATACTAGAATAGTTTACACAGTCATAAGGGGGAATCTCCAGCTCCCTGCACTCAAATCTGGCTCATCAGGTATCTCTGCTCTAGCCATTTTCAGCCTTATGGCAAAAGGGATCATTGTGTAGTCTCATTTTGGGGACACGACAGTAATCTAGCAATGTCCAGGGGTGTATATGCGAAATTGCTGGTCAGCTGACCCCTCCGCTTAAACTTGGCTGCTAGCCTCATGGGCTGGAAAATTCCGGGACGGTGGAGGCCGCCAACCGTGGTATTTCGAATACGGGCTGTTGCTCATCAGGACAACTGAAAGCTGCTTTCGTTATTTGTCTGAGTTTTAATAGGGTTACTTTTTGCGAAAACTGTGCATAAGGATTGCAGGAACTCTAAAAAGCTGGAAAATATGCTGATATATGTTTAATTGCGAAGTCGAAAAAGTGGAAGGTTAGTATATAACTGTACGCGAGTGGTTAGAAAAGAGACAGTATGTGATATTTTGTCTTAGAAATGCAGCCCTATGTTGCCGTGCAATGCAATACACTAGGATGGATGATTAATAATCCGAAGTATATGAGGGCCACTGTATAGGTTGTGTTTTGTAAATACATATTAAGTTGCAGTGTGGTAAGCTGTTGATGCGGTCGACGTGCAAGAAAAAGGATGGGCGGAATAATAAATAAATAGTATATTCTCGAATTTCCGAAACACACTGACCAGGCATGATCAACGTTTACAAGCAATTATGTTTCGCAACAAACACGTTGCTATGTATGTAATCGGCAGTAAGCCGAACGTTGTCCAAGCTTTGGAAATTGTAAAATTAATCTTGAGTTATAAATTCGTCAAAACGTGACGACAAGTTGGGTTCTAGTGGGCGTAGTGAAAACAGGCTGGTTATCCTGTTTGTAGAGAAAATTTGTCAGGAAAATATTTCATTAGGATTTTGGTCGGCTTGCCAGTATGTAGTTGTAGGCAGTGACTTTATTCAGTGGCGAGTCACATCCGCCACGTCGCAGTGTTGTTAAGCGGACATTTGTGGCTTTTTATAGGGAGAACGCTTGCCAGGCGAAAACCCACCACGTCCTGAAACACTGTCAGAAATCCGTTTGTACACTAATGTAAAACTGGCAGAGCAGCTCGTCGACTGATTTAACCCTCGGTTAACCGCCGTCAATTGCCTTCTAATTTCCTCTGTTAGCTGAACAGGTTATTTTTGCTCTGGGCGGCCATAATGGCTGAGGCCTATGGAGGGTTAGACCTTCGTCATCTTCGTGTCCAGGTGAGCAAAACTTCCGATTCTTGCGTCTAGATTTCTCAGGATTATGTATACTTCGCAGGAGTATGAAGGCGTCATGTCCAGCTACCATTACTGGACGACGGTCATGGTAGTGAGTGCATTTTTATCCACTTGTTGTACAGCCGTGTTCTATGTAGGTCCTTGGGGGTTTCTATGTCCTGTCTCAGGCACAAGCTCTTTCACGTTCCGATCCCAGATCCCCAAGAAGTTCCAGACCTCGGAGAAAGGGAAGGTGGTAAATCGTTGGGTAAGGAGTGTGTGTAAACCAATCGCATTCTCTCAAGTGATATATATATATATATATGGTTGTCGGCATCCGGTTTCGCGTTTACCTGTCACGGTGGCCAGCCACAGGACGCCTGCGCCTGGGAGGGACCATGGTTGGCTTGCGCTGCAAAACCCACAGCTACAACCACAACACCATATGCAGTGTAAACCCGAAGGAAGAAAATCGGGAGGGATGTGGATGCGAGCCAAGTTTCATCAACAGAGCCGACCCACACTCCTTCACAGGCAAACACAAACACGCTGTATTTGGGGAATCAAGTGCACATAAGGCGGTGGCTGGACCGTAGTCCGCTCCACACTGACTGCATTGAACCACTCTTCGAGCCTAGCACGACCACAAGTAAATTAGTGATCCATGAGCACAGGAGCCCAAACAAGGTTTTGGTGCAATCAATGACCATTACGAAGTCGGGATGAGATATGCTCCATCAAAGCATTCTTCATAGTAAAATCAATTGCACAGGTTGGATGCAGAAGGCTGAGGACTGCGTCAGTGTGAAATGTTTAGCTATGACTTTATTTTGTGGCGAGTCACATGCGCCACGTTGCAGTGTTGTTAAGCGGACATTTGTGGCTTTTTATAGGGAGAGCGCTTGCTAGGCGATAACCCACCACGTCCTGGAACACTGCCGTATCTTCCGTTGAACAGTAGTGCTACTCATCTATGCAACGTATAGACCGATTATGCACTCTATTATTCGCAGTCTGTTGACAGCCAAAATTCTTCGTTGGTTGGCCGAATGGCTAAGTAATGATCCGGAAGTAGTGGTTGGGGCCGTTTAATGATGTAAAAGGGTCGCAGTGTCCAATGATAATGATGCAGGTTGGTAAGCACATTGTTAATAAAGGCCGGCTTTTTCTATTATATTCTTGTCTGGCTCGCAAACCGTGTCCAGCTATCCACGCTGGGCATGTCATGGGGACGGTCAGTGCAGTTGTTTCTTGTAGCTGAATATGGCCATAACAGGCGAAAATTCCATTCTCCGCAAAATGGATTCGGAATTCCTTCAAATGTAAGTGTGATTGCCTCCATGGCCAAGTGAACACTCCCTGGACGGCCATCGAAAAAGCCACTTAAACGAGCGCAACGCTGTCCGTGAAAGGACGTCAGAAAAGCTCCAGGTGACTGGAGAATCGGAATGCTTGTGGCAATGAAGGTAATGACGCCAGAATCGTTTGTCTTCGGTGGTGGAACAGGGGACCAATGTAAATATCTTATTCCAGGTGAGTAAATTATTCTACTGTGAGTATGAGGCAAGATAAACCCATTTGGTTACACCTCGTAAAGGTAGCGTCTCCAGAATGGCCGAAAGAGCTCCATTTTGAACGATGTGTGGGTTCCTCATCTCCCGGAGAAAGGATCAAGCGTTTATACCAGCTGGCTATTGAAGATGGGTCGACCAGTCCCAGTGGATAAACCTTCTTGTTTTGGCGGATGTAAGCATGCAAGCACGCGGTTAGTAACTCGAATGCAGCGCGCCTACGATCGCTGCGCCGGTTCTGTCTACGTTCTCTGCAGGACCCGTCGTCGCTTCAGTAGTGGTCCCGTGTGGCCTCGCTCATGGCTCACTAGACCTGCCTGACCCAGGCACTCTCGATCGCATGTGCTACCGCACCATGCACTTGAGGTCGATGGAGTACAACCCATCGGTGCTTGCCGCTTCCGCACTTGCCGCTTCCTCTCTACATGTATGAGAACTTTCTACCGCACTTCCGCAACTGCCTTGGAGATTAGCTCGCGCCATGCACGCTGACCAATCGCCTTCGATTCCCATGACCTGCAATCAAGCTTAGAACCTGAGAGGCTTAATTTGACCATGTCATGGTAACGTAACTTTGGTTTCCCCACATGCCGCTCCCCACTACTCAGCTGACCATATAAGAGTTGTTTCGGTATACGCGTCCAATCCATACGGCTCACATAATCGAGCAACCTCAGGTGTTTCAGCAAAAGTATGAAGTTAACTGCATATATCTTACTTGGGCGCAACACTTTCGTGTCACTAACTATGTCGCCTCATCCGATGCGCAAAATCCGTCGCAAATACTGATGCTGGAACCATTCCAGAAATCGCAAATCCCGACGGTACGTCCTCCACGTTTCACTGCTGTATAGAAGAACGGACAGCACCATGGATTGGTACACCATCAGCTTCATGCCAACTCTAAGCAGATGGTTGTTTCAGACTCGGTAATCTAGATTCCCAAATGTCGCCGCTGCCTTCGTGACACAAATACGCAGCAAATTGTATAGCTGCTGGTCAGTCGACATCACACTCCCAAGGTAGCAAAAGCGAGAGGTGGTTTCTAATACTTCAGCACCGATGCTGATTCGCGGCAATAATGATGGTTGCACCTCCGGTGCAGACTGAAAGAGACAGACAGTTTCGCTTGTGTTGATGGTGAGTCCGAATTTGGCCGCTGTCAAAGACAGAGCACCAGTCATGTGCTGCAACTCATCCGCGCTGGGTGCAAACAACGCACAGTCGTCTGCAAATAGCATCATACGGACAGCTGCCTCACAGACTAGAGTTCTCGCCCCGAAACGACGGATGTTCAGCAACCCACCATCAATACGGTGCCTCACACGAACACCGTAAGCACAAGCGGCATCAAAAGCACATCATTGCATGAAGATATATATTAAATAGGGCAGGAACTGACACAGCCTTGCTTCACACCAGAGACAACTGCAAAGCTATCCGAGGTCTCTTCACTCAGCTGCACCCTCGCTCGCGTACGACTGTGCAGACATTCAATTAAGTTTACAAACATACGCGGGCAACCAAACTTATTCAACACCAGCCACAATGCCTCGCCGTTCACCGTACCAAATACCCTATTAAAATCGACGAAAAACGAGTTCAGTGCCTTGTGTCGTTCTCTGTACCTCTCCTGCAACTGACGAGCCGCAAACACCATATCTGTAGTGCTGCGATCCGAAAGGAATTAACACCGCTCTTCCGCCACGTTAGATTCCATAACCTGACGGACGAGACGGTGGATCAGGATTGGGCAATCACCTTGCTCAACCAACTCAGCAACTTGATGCCACAATAATTCGTGCATCATTGCTTGCTACCATTGCCCTTGTACAGTGGTAGCAAAAGGACATCCATTAGCTTAGAAGGCACCGCGTCCTTAATCCATACACGTTGCACCAATTGGTGCAGCGCAGTCAACCACGTGGGTCCGCCGGGTTTCAATGCTTCAGGCGGGATTCCGTCGGCCTTGGCACACTTGCCGTTTCACAACTGAGCAAGTGCTCTCTGCCACTCATCCAGCATCGTCGTGTCCACCAGACTCGTTTTCACCTCGTGCTGCTTGAGGCCCATCAATAAAAGCCAGTCGATCTCCGAACGATTGTTCAATAGACAGTCAGCGTTTTGCCAGATCTGCATTATGTCTACATTTGGTGTGTAGGTAGTGCCTGAACTACCATCGATCCGCTTCCCCAGCGGCTCCAATCTCGGGCCCTACACCGCTTTCAAGGAGTCAAAGCATTCCTTGTGTTGGCGGCCTTCGGCTTAGTATCCCATCTGCCTCGCCTTCTCCGTCCATCATGCATTTTTAGTGCGACAAAGCTCACTGGTCAGGCTCCGTCGAAGTTTTCGAAACTGACTTCTTTCTCAAGTCACTGGGGTCTGCCGCATGTGAGGCGAATGCTTCTTTCTTTCCCGGCACCAATGCGCCAGTAGTCGCATTGTTGTCATCAATCCAGCAGGCCGCGTACAGTTTGCGCAGCCGATGGTCTCCTCGGAGGCAGCTGTCACCTGGTCGCGAAAGTGATGTTACAGGCCGCCTAATGCGGCTATGCAGTCCACAGTACACATGCGTGCAGCCGTTGCCAGCTCCAGCTCACTAGGTTTCGCAACAGTACCGAGGGAGAGAATGTTATATTTACGCCGATTCACGGCGGGAGTGCAAAACACAGTTTCACGAAAATATATGCACAGGTTGGTGCGCACCAAATTGTGGTCAGTGCCGCGCTCAGCTCCACGCAATACACGTGTCATGCGCACTGCACGTATAGCACGCTGACGTAAGATGACATAGTCGAGCAGGTGAGCATGACCACTCCGCGGGTGCGCCCAAGTTGCTATATCACTCGAACTCAGTGCAAACCCAGAGTGCCTGAGCGTCAGGCCGTGAGTGGCACAGGGTGACAGCAACCTGTCACTGTTCTCATTCGCTGAACCAATGCCATACGAGCCGATAACTTCTGTCCACATCGATGCATCACGCCCAACAAGTGCGTTGAACTCACCCAGCAGAATTGTCAGTCGCTCCTCGGCGAAGACCTGTCACCGATAGCTGAGTGTATAATTGATCACGCGTGTCGTCTGGACAACACTTTGTCGGATCGTACGTGCTTATGAAAGTGGCAAACCTTTTCTCCCGGGTCGTAGGCGCACAGTCATCGGTCGCGCGATGAGGCTTGTTAGTACGCACACCAGCTGGCCATGGAGGCGATCGGATATTCCAAATCCGACCCCATGATCACGTGGTGCTCAGGCGGCGTCTCCCACCCGGTAGAATGTGTATCAAGCACCTGCTTCATGCAACTTACCTTGTTCAGCGAGCAGAGTTTCATTGAGCGCCGCCATATCGAAATGGTAATGCGGCAGCTCCATCGCGACCAGTGCAGTGCGTCGCTCCGGGCGTGCACTGGAGTTCCGGTCCGTACGTCAATGTATATATATATGAACATGAAGTTAGTAAGGGACACTGGTATGTTCATAAGTAAGAACTGCATACGTGTACTTATGCTTGTGTGTAAATGCATTAACTCCCGCATATCTGATGCATAATACTTGGAAAATGGGAAACTAAAGAGATTACGGAACTGCTACGTTGCCTGATAAAAATTATGTTTAATTGCAACTGGTTTTGTGGCACACGACTTCGGACGCCGAGGAATGTTTTATTTAATATTAGGGACTGTATCTGTTCGCTTTTGTGATCAGCAGCCTTTTCTTGCCAGATGTCCTAAATGGAATAGTATTGCTTCACGCAAGAATAGATGACTTTGCATCAAGTAAGGGTACGTGTGCGTCGAAGGTGACGGTTACTCAGTCCGGAACTTAAGATTTGTTGATATGAAAGGGGTTCTTTAAACTTTTAAAAAAGTTTAGAGGTTACTGCCTCGGGAAGCGCAACGGCGTTAATCTGGAGTATGCCGTGAACAAGGGAAGATGGAATTCGGTAGAGCTTAACGTAATAGATACATAAGACATAGTGCTCTGTATGCATTTTTCCTAACTGAAGATGCAGCTGGTGTTGCGTTACTTCTTAGTGTTGCATTTTATTTATAAATGAACAAGCTACTGGAAAGGGTAACATGACGTACTGATTAGGAAGAGAATCATTGGAGCAACGGAATGGCAGTGGAATGGGAACCGATGCGCAGGACTACGTTGTACTAATATACGCCATGTGGATGTAAGGTTGTGGATGGTTGTAGGCAGGGGCAGAGGAACGCTCGAACCATATGCCAATATTCTCGTATAAGTGGGGAGCTTTGCGAAAGCTCAGCACCCACCAAGGGAGAACACTGAAAAATGCTTCATCATGAAACATTAGAGGACGAAATGCGGGCGAAAGGAGGTAACCATTAGAAAGGCGAATTGAAACAAGGTAGCACGGTTTACCAAGAAGGTACGGTTACAGCGGCATGTGCATCGTTGAAAATAACTGCATAAGGCAAACGTGCCACGTACTTAATGGACGGGAAGGTTGTTCGCATACCCTGCAGTGTTGCCTCGCACGTCATAATAGAGGAATTGGCCCGTATATTGGTGGAAGGTTACGAAGCCACCCACTAAACCTGTGGGCTTATAGTCCGCCGCAAGTTACATTCAGAATTTGCCTGTGTCTGATGCGATTTGGGACGACAAGCCACAATAACATGGGGTGGCCCTAATAAGGGCCTTTGCTCCGTTCTCTAAGGAAGGTAAAATGTAGACGCACGTGGAAAGCGAAGGAAGACCGGACGCGGTGCTATGGCAGAAGACAGCAAATGCGCATACATCACAGGGTGACCAAGGGCGGTAGTGAAGACGGCGGATTGCACCGCATGCGTACCATGTCCCTGAAAGCAAGGCCATCAATGAAATTGGATGTCACCTTTGGCTAGCCCTCAGTAAGGCCTGGTATAGTGGTATCAGTCGGCGCAAGGAGGGCCAGGGGCAACGGTAACCTGGACGGTAGGGGCGACGCTTATGTACTTTGGCCATGAAAGGTAGGTCATCATTGAAATCCAACCTTACCTATGCTCTTGTATCACTGCTGAACGCTATCATGGTGCCAGTACTTATGTAAGAAGACAGTGTCAGCGTTCACTAGGGCGGCGGCGCATGTAACTTCGGGTTGTGGAAGGGCTGTCATTATTGAAATGAAATGATACCTGGGATTAGGTTTCATGGATGCATCACGTTGTGTTGGCCGTACGTGGGAGAAAGGCCAGCGGCAGCGTTCACTAGGACGGCGCATGTTACTTGTGCTCTGAAAGAGAAGTGAGCATTGAACTCCAATAGTACCTGTGGCTATGTAGCAATAATGCATCACATGGCGGTGGCAGTACATGGGATGTGGCGCAATGGACGTGTTAACTAGGATGGCGGCGCATTTCACTTGGGCTCTGAAAGGGAAGTCGTCAATGAAATACAATGGTACCCGTGGCTAATTATCAATGGTGCCTCACATGGCGGTGGCAGTACGTGGGATGAGGGCCAGTAGCAGCGTTAACTAGGACGGCGGACGGCGGCGCATGTTACTTGGGCTCTGAAAGGGACTTGCTCAATGAATTGCAATGGTACCGGTGGCTAGGTATCCATCTTGCCGCATATGGCAGTGGCAGTACGTCATCATAATCAGCATCATCACATACGTTAGCCAGAGGTAGGGAACAACTCAGCTACAGTGCCGCAATACATAGAAAAAAGAGGAAAAAGCAACTGGTGCAAGCCGGCTGAGCTACTGGTAACGGATGGCATCATTCCGCTAAGCTACCAGCCGGCTTCTGCGTATAAAAATTACTATTCAAAGTTATATAATGCTAACTAATGGGATCGTGGTTGGAGAGGAAGACTAAGAGGGATGGGGTGGGACAAAGAAACTCACAGCACGAACGCCACTGAATACGGCTCCTTGCCATGTCAGCAAGTGTGTCCAACCATTATGTGGGAGGAGGCGCAGTGGCAGCATTAACTAGGACAGCGGAGGGCGCACCGCTATACCCTCCATAAACCAATGATAATGGGCACAATCGTGCGTATACAACGACGATCGCATCACGTTGAACAGAGCCCTTTTATCCTCCGAGTTACAGAAGGGAAGGTGAGAACAACGCCGCTGCAGGTCACGCATAATGTGTACCAGGAAGACTAGGTTGGCATTGGGATACGCACTGGGAAACGCATTCACTTGCACCGCGCACCTGTTCATGACCAAGGTGAGAGCACGGTCAAACCCGGGGGCCAACTCCCGCACACTTCTGACTGCATCCTTTTACGTAGCCTCAGACTCATTTGTCAAAGCGCATAAATGGAGCTCATACTAAGGCTGCTAACGCCCACAAACTAGCAATGCACAGGATGTAACCACCGTACTTGCTCTGATACGTGGAGTCCGTCAAAATTACCTCACCATATTGGCCCACCAACTCCACCATGTGCGAGGGGACGTAAAACAGGTACCGAACCTCAATCCTCTCATGCACAATTTTCACTTGACCATTTCTTCGCAATGGCTGCGTAACCTCCTACTTTTCAGTGACACAAGCGTCACGATAACGCCGCCGTATGTCATATCAACCGCGCCTTGTTAAACCATGTTCTTTGGAGACGCACAAATGCACGCAACTCCTGCGTCCGACGAAAAGTCTTCATCAGGTTAAGCACCATGTTTTCCTGACCCGCAGTTTGCAGCCGACTTTTGGCATACAACCAAGGCTTCCCCATGTGAAAACTGTGCGAATGGCGAAGACTTGCGTGACCAACCTCGTAACGGTCCCCATCACAACCGCAGAGAACCGAGTAGGACAAGTGTTACACGGGTATCTGTTGCAATATATTCATCAAGCGGATGCACAACACATACCGCCTTCCAGCAACCTTCGATCGCTTGCTATGCTCGCACACAATATGAATATATCGGTACTGGCAGCCTTCCGGTAGCACTTGTCCAGTCTCCCTTTGGTAAGCTTTCGCAGTTGTAACGGTCCGACGAATGAACGACGTTGCCTTTTCAATCTGAAAACGTTTTAGGTCCTCATTAATCGCTGAAAAAACCAGACAGGGACCCTTGAAGATATGTCGGAATGCATAAAAGTCATCCACCATGGCTACTTTCGCTCGAAGCGGGAAAAGGATTAGCCACAGTAATCCATTTAAACCGTACAGTAAATTGATATATATACCATTCCTTGGCATATTAACAACGGCGTTAACATAATAATAGCCACACACTGGGGTCCAAAAGCCCAAACTTCTCATTTATCAACAAAAACCCTCTGTGAGTACCACGCGTTAACTTCTCTTTCTGAAGCGCTATACTTTCGAGCCTTTTAGGTGAAATTCTCGCGAACAAAGTGTTTGAATAGACACTTTTGACGAAATTTGCCTTCAGTCAAATTTTTCTTTTGGACTATATGACATTCATGTGCGTGGACTGTGGGAAGGGTGTCACCTCACGTTCAAAGGCCGTCCAATGCGCACGGTGCGACAGATGGATGCATATAGTCTGCTGTAACATTGCTAATGATCTTTACCAATGTCTTCAGCGCACTACCTCTAAAAGCGTCAACTTTCACTGCGATTCGTGTCTAATATTGGTCAGCGACAAGCAACTTCTTACGAACCCTTTCATCGCACATACTGCTTCCGAGCAAGCCATCTGTAACTCGGACAGCAAGACGCCTAACTCCGCAGTGTGTCCGCCGTCGTCTGGGTATTCTACACCGAAAGGAAACGAAGCCGGGCGTCCACCACCACGTTGGACTTAACACCGTTGCCCAGTGAGAACGGGAATGGACTTATGCAAGTCCTATGCCGCAGTAGCGAGCGCAAGCACCTCAGCAAAAACAAGGACAACCATAGCTGAGAACAAGGACTCAAAGAAGCTCTCCTCCCGACCCAAGATAAAATCAAGCACTAAAAATGTGGAACTAAAGCTCGTCTTAAATAGAGTAGCGCAGCTTGAGGAACTCGTCAGAGAAAAGAAATGTCCACCAAAGCCAGCATCACCTGAACGAGACAAACGGCCTGTTCGCAACCGCTGCCTGATAATCACAAACGTCTTGGAATCCAACAAAGAGACTCCAGCTGAAAAGGATGCTCGACGACCATTCTTCCCTCAACGAATGGTCTACATGTTGTTTGATGGGCATGAGCAAGGAATAAACCTAATCTCTGCTTTTCGCCTTGGCAGAAAACAAGAGGACCCAGCCAAGTTTCATCCTCTGAAAATCGTCTGTCAGGATGAAGAAGAATGCCAACGCATCCTGAGACGGACCCCGCGCCTCAAGGGAGAAACCTACGTTCTGAAAAACCTCCCCGGAGGACCGAGTCCGAATGAGGCAAGCTGACTGCGAGCTCCGAACTCGGCACGCAAATAAAGAAACAGATCTACACGGTGGATTGTCACATAGGCAGAAAAGCTCATGGAGCTCGATGGAGGCCAATCCTCCTTCTTCCAGGACCTCAAACATAAAGAACGGACTATGGGTAATACTCGCGAATGTGCGCAGTCTCAGAAACAAGCTAGATGAGATTCCACTCCTTATCTCTGAACAGCAACCGGACCT